TTGACTTGTTTGGTTCATCCATTTTTCTATGTATCTAGACATATTATTATATCTAGATGAGTATAATGAATGTACCAAAAAAGTCAAATCAACTTATAATTTGGAACGGAGGGAGTAATAATTTCAGGGACCAAAAGGTGCAGGTGGGATCACACACCACATTTGAATCAGTCCTGCAGTTAGAAGATGCAGCTAATTACTTGTATAAAACACAATGCATCTTTACCTTGGTTGGATGCATGTTCAGGCCCATGTCCTTGTTCTATCTTCATGCGCTCAGCTATAGATTTATAAGCATGCAAAGCCTCAAATGGAAAAACTGCAGGCAAGTAACAATATCAGCAATCGAGGGCGGAGCTTGTTTTTAACGGCAGAAATTACAATATTACCTCCTCTGGAAAAATATTCAGGTCTATGGCCTTGATTGAGCATCATAGGCTGAACAGCTTGAAAAACTTTTTCTGAATATTATAAGAGATAAACTATTAAGACAAGAATAAATCGATGGACCAGAAGCTTGCCACAGGAACATATCTAATAAGTAATGGGTGCGGGTCTTCCCCCGTTCAGATCAACTCTAATAGATGCAGCTTAATTTTGAAATTTAGAAAATACAGTGCATGTTTACCCTGGTTGGATGCATGTTCAGGACGATGTCCTTTTTTCCATCATCATGTGGCCAGGTATGGATTTACAGTCGTGCGCAGTCTTGAGTGTAAAACTGCAGAGAAACAACAATATCAGCAATTGAGTGTAAGAACTGCAGAGAAACAACAATATGAGCAAATCTGAAGCTGGAACTTGTTTTTAATAGCAGAAAATACTATATTACCTCCTCTGGATAAATATTCAGATGGATGGCCTTGTTTGAGCACCTTTGCGCTGACCAGCTCAAAAACTTTTTCTGAATATTTAATGAGCTTTCCAGTCAATCGCCAAAAAAAGTGGTTTTGCAAACGGGACTTTGTGATACAGTTGGGGCAGTTCAAGTTAGGCCAGTTTTCAGGCATTGAAGATCCAATAATCTAGTATACATGCTTTCAGCTAACTCTGAAGATCGCATTAGTTTTCTAGTCATCACAAGCAAACGAATTTCAAGTGATTTTGCCACAAAATAGAACATTGTATCTAGCAACGCAAGCGTGCAAGCTTGGAAGATCAAACAGAATCATTTGCATAAAAGGGTGTTTTATGCAACCAAAACATAGCATCATTCTTCAGCAAGTAAATAAATTTTAGACACCACAGCAACGAAAAAAGATAGAGAAGGACCTGGCTCAGCAAAATACAACATGGGGACATATACTTGGTTTGGCAAGTGATCGAGCTAAAGGCAGAGACAGATGGCAAACTAGATGCACGTACCAAATAGTTGTATCAGCAGCACTCCCAATTTCCTTGGTGAAATTGCTGTTGAAAATGTCGGTTGTTAATCAGCACAGCTGTATATCACAAATTAAACATGTCCTACAGTTGGTGTGTGATGCTAAAAAAGGTGATGCTCCTACTCAGAGGTATCCCATAACATTATAATACCTGAATAATCATGACAGTCCATCTGAGCTGAAGGAACCAACCTGCACAAACCAGCATATACGTAGCACAGATCTGTGTATATAAAATAAGCAGAGAAAACAACTACACAGTGCAGGGTTTCAGCTAGAACTCTTTCAATCAATGTGCATGATGTACCTCTTCTTCATCTCAAGATAGACCTTTGCAACATCTGTTGCTTGCTTCTTGCTGCCTACTTTCTTCACTTGACGCCTTGGACGGAAGCTAGCAAAGATTAGATCACAAAGGCAGCAGTCAGACAGTCGGTTGAGTGACATTATGCAGTGGAGAACGAAGCTTATTGCACCCTGGCGCGCGCGCGCGCACGCACACACACACGCACGCACCTGCACCTAATGGGCATTACGTCGTACAGCTCGTTCTGGGCGAGCGGGTAACGCGTCATCTCCTTGAGCTCAGGCATCTCAGAAACCATCTGCTCGACCAGCTCCGCTGCCTTGTTCCCTGACGAGTTGCCAGTCCAGAGTGTTCCTGCAGCAAGCATATATACGGGACATTCGTTCGATCGCTCATCACATTACATATACTCATATAGATCGATGCAGCAGCACAAGCCACAAGCTAGATGTAAGAGAGAAGCGTAGGGTATTACCTGACATAAAGTGTGCGAAGGAGAGGACATCGGTAACAAGGGCGACGAGGCAAGGACACTCAGAGAGCGCAGCACGATGCCTGTACAACTTTATGAACCAGTCGCGGACGACACCTTCCTTGGCTGTGTCGCCGTCGGCGAATCTGTGGATGGCCATGAGGTAATGGAGGAAGAGCGTGAGGAGTCCAGCGTGGCTGCTCAATTCCCAGATGGGTGCGAAGGTCCTGACGTGGTCACACGCCTCCTCGAGCTGGCCTGCCTTGATCCGCTTCACCAGGTCCTCGACGTCGAAGATCACACGCAACTTATTTTGGCCCTGCGATGTTAACCAGAGGATCGATCAGTCATACACTCATACGCATTCATTCGCAAGAGGATTTTGGTGGTGGGTGTGTTGGGGGTTGAGATTGAGGGCATACACATGGTAGATCTGGTCGTAGCAGTTGTCCCGGAGGTACGCAAGGAGCCGGCGCCAACGGAGACGCTCCGTGCATGGGTAGTCCGGGATGTAGTCGCAGTCGCACTGCTTGCGCTTGCCGGAGGCTGCCGCCTCGCCGACACCGGCGGCCGCCGCACGCCCGCCCTGGCCGGAGACCGCCGCCGCCTCACGCTCGCCCAGGTCGGAGACCGCCGCCGCCGCACGCCCGCCCTCGCCGGAGACCGCCACCGCCTCACGCTCGCCCTGGCCGTAGACCGCCACCGCCGCACGCTCGCCCTGGCCGGAGATAGCCACCGCCGCACGCTCGCCCTGGTCGGAGACAGCCACCGCGGCAAGCTCGCCCTGACCGAGGACCGCCAGCGCACGCCCGCCCTCAGCGGAGCTCGCCATCTCTCTCGGGAAGATTTTGATCTTCTACGATTCCTGTGTTTTGTGTGCGTGGGTTTGGCCGTTTTGGGGAGATGACATGCCAGGATTATATGTGCGAGGCAGTGTGATGCGATTGCTTGGCGAAAGGCGGGGGCGAGGGCGGAAACGGGAGAAGTAAGGGAGAAACGGAGATGTAAGGGCGGGAAAACGGGAGACGATTGCATCCCATCTCCTTTTCACTGACGCGCGGGTGTCAAATTCTTTTTCCTCCTCTCCCCTTGACGAGCACCTTTCGCATGCCCGAACCGACAACGCAGCGGACGAGCGCTCGATCTAACGCAGAGGAGGAGGAGCCCCGAAGCCGGCGAGGAGACTCCTTCCTGGGCGGCTCCCATCTTCCCCGAGATCAACGACCCCCGTCTCTTTCTCTCGGAGTATAGCGTCGTTGCTGCAGTAGGAGCCGGAGCCGACAGATGGGCACGGGCACATCTGCTTTGGCGATCAAACCGCGATCCACGGTGATCGCCTACTTGGACAACCAAACCGTGAGCCTCCACCGTGGCGTGAGGATGGGGACGCCGCCGGGCAAGCTTAGCTTCAGCCATGGTGCGAGGCGATGGCCATCCAAATCGAAAAGTAGTGGGCCTGATTTAGGTAGCATTACTAGAGATGCTCTTCAAAATCTACTTATTTTTGGTATACGGGCGACAGGGCGAGGACAAAAAAACGGTACTTAAGGATGCCGATAACTAATCGAGCACAAAAAAGATTAGTGCAAACAGAAATCGATACAATCTTTATCTTTACAAGAAATATGCACCATGAAATTTACCTTCTAATCTTTCCACGTGTTCAGCTATTCAAAAGGTCATGTTCACAACGTCACAACTCCATCCGGTAGGGGGTACCGTGCAGCACGACTGTGTACCCATTGGTAAAGATTTCCAAACGTGCCGGCATGACACTACACGGCCCTAGCCCGCCTGGGCACGGCACGGCAGGCACGGTTGATGAGGCGTGCCGTGCCACCGTGCCGGAGTTTAGGCCCAGGCACGGCACTAAACTTGCTGGACCGTGCCTGGTGTGACGTGCCGGCACGGCAGCCCAGCGTGCCCCGTGCTGGCCCTGGCACTGAAATTACAAAAACATTCTTTCAAATCATAAGTTTACAGAGATAACTTCTAACTCATCAAAAACATCAGACAATGCTAGAAAAAAAACAGCAAAGAGCAAAGAACAGCAAAGAACAAAGGTAAGTGTTGAAACTAAAACTAATTAAAGTAGGAGCTGTGCAATGGCTGCCTCATTAAAAACCTGTTTAGGTAAAACTCACCCTTGTAAGAAACCCTAAACAGGAAAAGAGTACAACCAGCTCCTAAAATTGTTCATAAATTCATTACATCCAGCCTCCAGCATGTCCAAGTCTTAATAGCTATTACAGAACCATTACATAAATGGGGAACTTAATCAACATCAAGATAAAGTGCTTCAAAGGCCTCTTCCAGCTCCTTATCCTCCACCATGTGCTGCAGTCTTGATTCAGCATTCTCCCAGTCCTTGATGCAGGTTAGTGCCTCCACAGTCTCAGGGTTCAGCCTCCGGCGACGCTCCTCGATGATCCTGCCAGTAGTGCTAAAGGTAGATTCTGAAGAAATTGTTGACACAGGCACAGTAAAAATATCTTTTGCAAGAATAGAAAAGCACAGGATAAATAAGCTTGTGCTCATGCCACCATTGCATGAGGTCAAAATCATCATCTAACTGGCTGACTGTGTCAGAGTCCAGGTAGGATGCAAGCTCACTAGAGTTAGAAGCAGAAGCTGCCTATAGCAAAGAAGTGGCAGAAACACCCCTGGACTGATCAAGATTAGGAGGGAGGGGAGAACAGCCAGCTCCAATGTCAAGCTCATCATCATCATAAATGTCAGTCCAAGCTGTTCTTTTTTTACCAGAAAGGGATGCAGGAACAGCCCTTTTGAGCCTAACAGAGTCATACATTGCATCATACCTGTTGTACATTCTAAAGAGAAGAGCTCTGGTGTCCAGCAACTTGTTAGTGTAATCAACATTAAAAAGAGAATTCAACTTTCTAAGCACTTTGGTAAAGCCCTTAATCTTAGCTCTTGGATCCAGTATGAATGCAATGGAATAAAGATCAGGTATGTTCTTTCAGTACTTATTATATTTGTCAATCATAGACTGCACAACAGATCTCAGATGTTCATCATGTTGATATTTATGCAGGTGAACAACAATCTTAACAATATGATGAATCATAAGTGGAGAAGTAGGATAGTACACACCAGATAAAGCAACAGTAGAGTCATAAAACATTTCAAGAAATTGCAACATCTTAGTTGCCATATCCCAGTGATCATCAGTCAACAGGAAAGGACTACCTGCAGGTCTAAGGTAATTAGCCTCAATGAAAGTACTAAAAGTACTCCTGTGAGGTAACAATGTTTTCAGCATAAGGTAGGTGGAGTTCCACCTAACATCCATGTCCAGTGAGAACTTCCTAGGTCTAACATTGCTAGCAATGCAATAACTCTTGTATGTAGCAATTCTTTGATTAGAGAAGTTCAAAAAGAGATTGCAGCTTCTAAAGTTGTCAATGAGAGGATTAATAAGCAGACCAATGCTTCCTTAACAATCGAGGTTAATAATATGACAAGCACATCGTTGATGCAAAAACAGATCAGCACCTAAATACTCTTTAAGTATAGGTTTCAGTTTATCCATTGCATTTTTATTGGCAGATGCATTATCCAAAGTCACAAAAAAACCTTGTTAAGTATACCATACTCAGCAAGGACAGTTTTAACATGCTCAGCAATGTTTTCAGCATTATGGGAGACATCAATTAACCTTAAACCAAGCACCCTTTTCTCTAATTGCCAATCAGCATTAATGAAATGAGCCACAACAGATAGATAATCTTCTTTGGCATTTCCAGACCAAATATCAGAGGTAACAGCAACAGATGAAACAACATTGTCTTGCAAACAAGTCATTAATTTTTCACGTTTACCATTGAAGTGCTTAAACAGATCTCTACCAGTAGTTTGCTTAGAGACAGGTGCAAAGGCAGTTTTAATGTAATATTTAAAGGCATCAGTTTCACCAATCAGTAAAGGTAAATCTAGCCTAGCAAGCATACGAACAAGCTCAACACGAGTTACATCAGCATTGTACTCCCAGCGACGAACAGAACCATCAGGATTAAAACCAATTTGAGTTTGAGACATGCGACATTTCTCACGACGCTTAACACAAACCTTAAGATGCCGAGTAAGATGTCCAAAGCCATTAGCGAGAATAAGCGAGTATTGTTTCTTGCAATGTTTGCAAGTGGCGGATACCGACGGTCTCGCCTTACCGGCACCTTCTTGAAGTGCTTCTCAAAATCATCCTGCATGCAGAGGTAGAAGGCCGATTGGAGCCTGCCACCTCACTGTCGCCACCGTCGGCATCGGGATCGGCCCCTTCCCCGTGGACCGGGACCGCATCTTGGTCATAGGGAAGGGGATCAGCAGCAGACCGCCCAAATAGCTCGGCGCAATCCTCGCGGACATCGTCCTCCTCATCATCCCCGCCTAACCCGCACATCCGCAGGCTCGTCGTTCGGGAGTGATCAAACTCCCTTCATCGGCGCCGCCTATGCCTGGGCTATCTTTGCCGCCTCTGGTTCCTCGGCAATTTGCATCAATCAACAACGTAAAAAGACGGTTAGGGTAGGGATTAGGGTTAGGGTAGGGGATTAGGGTAGGGATTACCCTTACCTCTAGAGCCGAGCCGCTGAACGCACGATGAGATGGACCGGATGCACACCCCGGTACCTCAATCGGAGACCGAGCCCCGGAGGTGGCGGCGAGGCATGATGAGAACGACGGACAGAAGACAGAGATGCGTCGAGGATGCTAAGAACGAGTCTCAATCGACTTTCAGGGATGAAGAACAAGGGAACAGATGGAGATTGAAGGCGGGAACCACCAGATCCGAGAGAGAAGAGGAGATTAAAGCGAGAGAAAGCGAGGGGAGATTGAGGATTTTAACCCACCGGATCGACCCCTTACCATTGGAGAACGCCATGGACACGGCCGGAGTAGGGGAACGAGGCGACGATCAGTGCGAATCGGCGAGAGCGAGGAGCGAGACGACAGCCGGCGAGAGCGATTTAAGCGAGACGAGAGCGGCATGAGGGAGACGAGAGCAGCGGCGAAATGAGCTAGGGTTTGATGGTGGGGCGGCATGACGGGTGACTTATATATCGTAGCCCCGCCGGCGACCCAGAGTTGTGCCTGAGCCGTGTTGCCCGTTGGAACGGGCCGTGCCCGGGCCGGCACTACGGGCCGACTCCTCGGCCCAGGCACAGGCACGGCTGGGGCGGGCTAGGGCTGGGCTTTTTCGCACCAGGCTCGTGCCAGCTCGTTTCAACCGGCCCGTTTGGAAATCTTTACCCATCAGCCCTCTCTCTCTCTCGTCCTCTTTGCCATTCATGTTGGGAACCAGAGAACAAGAGAGGAAAAGGAGAAGGTAGAGGAGGAGAAAAGGAAGGAAGAAGAGGAGAGGAGGAGGACGCTGCAGCCACGATGGAGGTCATCGTCGGCAAGCTTCCCCACGCCACCACCTCGCTGGAGTTGAAGGAGGCAGCCCCAAGCTTCGTCATCTTCTTCCTCAAGCCATGGAGCAAGCCCGACGTCGATCTCCCACCACAATGAGTTCCGGTCCGAACTGATGTAGATGGAGCTTCTCCAAGACATGGTGAGCACATCCCCAAAGCCTAATTTCATCTTCAATAACCTCCCATGGCCAATCCATGAGCTTCACCTCTCATCCATGGCCACCACCACCATGGATGGGGTCGAGCTCACCATAGCCCATGCATGGCACATCCATCACTTGTAAAAGCTTCCCTACATCACTAGAAAGCCATAGGAATAAACCGCACTCGATTTGGAGCCCGGATGTCCTGTGAATCATCTCCAACGCTTTTTACACCCGAGCTGTTCGTCGTTACC